AATATAAATTCTCTGTTTTGCACAATAGACATGTCTGCAAAATATAAAACTTTACAGATATATTTTTGCAAAGAACTGTCGTGGTTTAAACCCAGTCAGCCAGCTCATTGACTCACTCCTCCCCTTTCCTCCCTCTTTCTTTCCTTTCCCCCCTCCCTTTCCCCGCTCTCAGAGGGCTAGGGAGGAGAATCAAAAGAATGTAACTCCCAGGGGTTGAGACAAGAACAGTCCAGTAACTAACGTATAACAAAAACCACTACTGCTACCACAAATAATAATAATGATGAGGGAAATAACAAGGGAAGAGAATACGATACCACCTGCCAAAATGAGTGCCAACCCAGAAGACCCCGTGTCCTTCCGGGTAACTCCCAGTTACCTCCCCGGGCATGACGTGCTGTGGTATGCAATACCTCTTTGGCTGGCTTGGGTCAGATGTCCTGTCTCTGCTTCCTCCCGGCTTCCCCTCCTCCCTGGTAGAGCATGAGACTCACAGTCGTTGGTCAGGGTAAATATTACTTAGCAACAACTAAAAACATCGGTGATATCAGCACTGTTCCCAGGCTGCAAGTCAAAACACAACGCTGCACCAGCTACCAAGAAGGAGAAAAATTGACTGCTACTGCTAAACCCAGGACAAACAGCTGTAGATAACATTCTTCACTGAATTTCTAGATTTTTCAGTAAGGCCAACATTCATAAAGCATTTTATCTACCACACTTTAAAATTTTTCCTCTGGCTGCTCTAAAAAAGATGTTACTCTTTTCTCTGAAATTCCATCAGTTCGTCATTTGTAGGCAAGGCCTGGAAAGGAAGGAAGGATAAGGAGACAGTGGGAGTGAATTGGTATTTTATTGTCGTGACACTCTAGTGTTATTCCAGTTAGTAATTTTTACTTTTAACCTTCTGACTGAGGTAGTATCCATTGCAGTTGCTCAAAAATGAAAAGCTTCATCTTCTTTGCTGCTAGTTCATGTATGTAGCATGGGTGAGAAAGCAGGTAGGTACTTGTGCCAGCTTTATTATTTAACAGAAGGCTTTGGCAATCTAAAGCTGTGCCACTTTTCTCAAAGACCACACTTGTGGGGAATGCACCTGTGTACCAGGCAAGACATACTGGCTACTTTCTTACGGTGCCTCTCCTCTTCTTTCTTTTGCAGAAATGATGCCTGCCTCAGACATATGTCTTGGGGGGCTTTGGTGGCTTCATACCTTTGGAAATTTTGTGGGTCTGCTGATCTGAGCTACTGAGGAGACTTTTGCAAACGTACCTTCAGATGCACATATACAGAGTAAATCCCTTCAGAACCTCACAGGTGTTTTGAAAGCAGCATGAAAAGATGTGTCAGTGGTACAAGGAAGTTAGGTGGAAGCTGAAGAGCTAGGCTACCCATTTCTGAGTCAGGTAAGCAGACCTTAGCAAACACTACACTGTCCTTGCATCAGTTTGTGGAAGTGTCTTGTACTACTAGTATCAATGCATGTTTGTTGACCTTCACAACTCTCTTTAGATACAAGATTTGGCACTTGTAGCTATTGGAGACTCTAAACATTTAGAAACAACTCTAAATGTGAACATGAGATGATAATATTTAATATTACTTTATATTTATATGATGGTGCCTGACAATTAGGTTATGCAAACATTCTTTATTGAAACAGAAAAGCAAGAGGGTTTTACAGAAGGATTTTTACCTTGCTTCCAATTTTTCTTAATTTTAATTGATCATCTAATTATTCTGCTGTATTTATGAACAGTACCCAGAAACACAAGAACTTCATTGTGCTAAAAATGAATCTAAGGGTGCTATATAAACATCTGCACATTGTAGCCAGAAATCTATCCTATTAAACTCATGTGAGGGCCTGCTGTTGGTATAACAGAAGTGTGTTGGGGTTGCTAAGGCTACCAAGTCACGTCCTTCATGGCCAAAAGAAATTAAATCATGCATGTGGGTAAAAATCAGATTTTCAGATTTCCAAGGACCACGATTCTTACACTGTCAGTCAATAACGCTTTTACTGTTGACTCCCACAGAAGCAAAGCTAAACCAGTACTGCCTGCTTCTGAAATCCCACCCTTAATACCAGCTTTCTTAAATACTTTCTTTCCAAATGTTGGGGAAAACCCTGAAATCTCTGCCTCTTGGCCGCAATGAAATCAAACAACAGGAAGTGAAGAGGTTAGGTGGTGGTTTTTGTTTGGTGGTGGTTTTGGGGGTTGTTTTTCTGTTAGGCCATCCAAGAGAAAAAAGGTGGAAATTAGATGAACATAAAATGAGTTTTGACACATTTGGCAAATGGCAGTGTTTTCAGGAGTTTGCTAGCAAAAACTGTTGTGTAAGCATCCAGTTGCTCAGTTTGAGAAAGATGGTTTCTTGCCAGCAAGGGGAAAAAAAGATCACCAGTTGGCAATATTAATCTTTTCCACTCATATTTTCTTTGCCTATGATTCCCAAAGTGCTTTGTGGAAATGGCTCGCATGTTGCTTGTATTTTTACAACTAAAGCACAGGAGATTAAAGTGAAGATAGGAAAACAAGACTGCCTGAAAAGCTACATTCCTGGAAAAGAGAGACACAGAAGAGCTGACAGAGAAATCTGATGCTCTGAAGTATGTGAAGAACCTTCGGATACTCAGCATTTATGACAATAAAAACACTTATTTAGGAGCATAAGTTATGCACTAAGTGACTGCCCCAACTCTTGTAATATGATATGAGAAGAGCAAGAATAAGATGAAAGTAAAATTTTCATAGTCATCTATTCAAATACTAGACTATATATTATATGGGTTGTCTTTGATTTGGGGGGAAAAAAAATGTATGGCTTGATTTCTTTTTTTTTCCCTTTTTTTTAAATCATAATCTGATAAACCATTTTCATGCTGGGTTGTTTTCTGACTGGGTTATTGTTGAAGAATTAGAAAAATCTGCAAGACTCACATTTTGCTTTACACAGTCATTGTTTCAGTGACTGTCCAATGACTTACAATTCTGTTTCATGGATAAGATTATGCCATATACAGTCATGTAAGATGTCCAGAAGTTAACATGTCCTTTCATTGCAAAAACCTTTGCTCTGGAATAGAATGAAATGAAGTCAAATACAGAAAGGAAATTATTTTGGAAACTAAGAATTTGAGACCTCAGCTATCCTCAGACACAACAAAACATTTCCTTTTTTTATTGAAAGGCATGTAAATACTGATCAGACAAAAACTGCTAAAGAATATTTCAAGAAGATATGTGGTTTCCAAAAGCTAATTCTGATGTCAGAGTACTTACCAGACATAAGCAGAGCATCACCTTGCGATATTTTTTCTTACATGAAGAGACATTGCAGATGTGAAAAAGGTAACATTTCGGAGCTGAGGCTGTTATTGTTTGTTTCAAGAGACTCTACCAAATGTCTTCACACTCTCAAAAGCTCCTTTATTGAAAGAAAGACAAGCTCCAACGAATGTTGGTAAACAACTTTTTTTTCCACTTAGGTGGCAAAGATTATAGTGGATACACCTGATTATGTTATCAGAGTCTAGGAATTTTAAAATAAACTCAATTTCCATAAAAATTCAAGCTATTCACAAGTCAAAATAACTTTCAAATACATCCTGTGAAAGGCAATGCAAAGAATTTTTCAAGTTAGTTGGAGACATAGAAATGTGGCATTGATTTTGTGAGTTTAATCCTTGCATGATAACAATGTTGCTTTCAGCTTTGAATTATGAAGTCATGAATAGAACATTTGCATATCTAAAAATTATGAAGTCATGAATAGAACATTTGCATATCTAAAACATATTCATAAACTAGACTTTATTGAAGCCATTTTCAACATTTTATTGTCATTTTTAAGTTAAAATGATACATTGCACACACAAGAATATCAGAATAGCAACAGTATTCTTTGCATGGGTAACAGTTATGCAGAAAATGCTAGCATTCTATTGGATTGCGGACAATTATAAACATCTTGGCAATAATAATCATCTTGGCTATTCTTATGTGTGATTGCAGTGGAATTGCTATTTTTACCTGCATCTTCATATCTTAAAATTACCTTTAAGTATAGAATAGAGATGGTTGTTACTTGTACCTGCATCTTCATATCTTTAAATTACTTTAAAGAACGGCAAGTGAAAGCTAATTCTTAACTAACCACTATTTAACCAGTCAATATTTGAAAGGATCAGCTTTTCTTGCGAGAAGTACAGGGCTAAATCTGCAAAGAAAACAGCTCTGGCTAGTGCAACACCTAACTTTAGGGCATCTTGCCAGCTCACAGGAATTTTTGCTCAATGATTAGGAACATCTCTTCCTTAATCAGTGGAGGGGAAGAGCTAAGTCGGCTCAGAGTAATGTCACTGGAGACCAGAGAGCTGAACTCTTCTAGAGAAAAACAGCAAAATATCAGCTGTATCCCTTAGAGTAAGTCATTTAACTCTACTTAAGATTCTGTACTGTGAGTCTGGTCTTTGAATTAAACATCTCCAAACTGGCCGAAGGAAATCCCATCCCAATATTTAAAGCATTCACCTGACTGGGGACCTGTTTTCAAAATTCCCTTCTGCTTTAGCTTGAAAACCTATTTCTCAGGCTTCTGGGTTCTCTTGGCTGATTTATCTTTACTTAGTGTATATATTGTGTACTTTGAGGGGTAGGGAGAAGTGTGATCAATCAGCTTGATAGATAGATATCCCTTGGCACAGAGGGAATGCTTTTCAGATTGCTGGCATAATGAACATTCACTTTTTTTATGCAGAGAAGTGCTTCAGTGAGAGATGCTGGCATGTGATAAATTGCCAGAATTACTGACGGGCAGCTGTGTCAAGTAAATCAGGGCGAGCAGTATTCAAACACAGTCACATATATATGTGGAGACAGAATATCCAGCTATAGACCTATGAATATCATCTTTCTTCACATACATGACAACAAAGACTTATCTCAGAATAAAGGACAAAGTAACAGTAAGTACTTCTGCCTTTTCAGAGCTTCTTCTGTGAAATTCTGATAAATCATGTAAGATGACATTGTCTGATGATAAAAACTTTAATAAGATGAATAAAAGGAAAAAGGTAAAACCAGCAAAATCATTTACTCTGTGTACTTCTTAAGGGAAGGATAGAGAATTCCACATGTGCAAAATGGCAGAGAGTTCAGATTGTTTTGTCTGTCTCTGCAGTATGTTGAGATGTAGCCTTCTGGCAGAGTGGGAAATTGCTGCTCAACCAAACCCATATCACATGGAAAGGTAGCACTTTCCTGCTATTTCATGACAGAGTAAATAGATCAATATTTGTGTGAAAGTGTGGCTGGAGGGGCACCCTGTTTACAATAGACTATGGATGTCTGTGGAATGTTGCCCTGGAAGAATTTGCAATATTTCCATCAGGAAACCCAAATGCTAAGAATATGCATTTTCTTCTAGACCTAAACTATTGGACTCTTTGGTTTAAGGTTCAGACTGGCAGAAAATTTTCACTTTATTAGCATTTTAATACAATAGTCAGAAAACAGTGACTTTTCAGCCTGAATGACTGGAAGCCACTGGGAAGGCCATGCAGATCTGTGTTTCCTGGAGGGCACACAGACTGCTCATTAAATCTGCTCGGTCATTGCATTTATGCATTGAACTTAAAAACTCAAACAACAAGAAACCCAACCCCTAAAAGCAAGCAGCACTCCTGCTCAGAGGATGTTTGAGGGAGTAATTCCAACTTGACCTTTCTCACACATACCCTCTATGGGAGGAAATATTTTTGGAGGAAATAAATTGAAAAAGAGCACAAAGATCCTGCCACATAGGTTTCCTGGTGTTATTTTATAGAGGAAGAGGCAAAAGTTCTTTCTTCAAATTCCTTTTCCCATGTAAACAGGGGGAAGAATATTGTCTTTTGTCAACACTTTGTTTTGCTCATTTGCCACTATCTTCAAAATGTGTTCTATGAAGATGTAGTTTATTAATCGTGACTGTGTTGTCTTCTACACAAGAACTGATTTTTTGGACCATATTTGTAATACATGCTGAAATGTACTGTTTGCTAAGTGGCCTTATCTATAATTTCAATAGCCTTTATGTGCTTCGGAAGACTCTTTGGCAAACTCCGTGTGAGGAAGTAATTTAGTTATATGGCTGTGTGAAGGATGAAATAATGTAAGATTAATTAGGACTTCTAGAAAAGCAATATGAAAAAAATAAAAATAAAAAACCAACCAAAAAGCCAACATAAGTTCTTGACTTTGGAAGAAGTAATTAGCCAGTGCTGCAAGAGCATGCAATCAGATATCCTTTAGTGGATCTAGAAGAGCAATTTAAGAAAGAATTGTCCCCAGCTGGTTGTTTCTTTCTCAGCAATTTAGATGTTGTGTGTACCCTAGCAGCTACTTCTAGCCCATTTCAGTGACAAAATAGATACATTTAAATCACTGTTTTAGATTACTTGAGGGGGAACAGAGATCAAATCACTTTCAAACAACTTGAGACTTCATTTCTGTTTGAGTACCTGTCTCTTCTTATTGTTGCTTCATGGCCATAGGAATGTTGTAGAAGGGATGTTGCAACTCAAGTACCTACATGAAGGCAAAGCTCCAGCTGAGGCTGACTTCAGTTCCAGAAGGTTCATAACCTGAAGATTGTTTATTGAAAATGCACTGCTAAGTCTTTCTAACTGAAGATACATTCACAAGCATTTATTGCAAGTCATTTGCAATATAATGATAAATCTGTGCAATTTTATTTCCAGCTCAGCAGGACATTGGACATTGCTAAACTGTTTAATGTACATAACATGATACTTTATGACCAAAAAGATGCATTAGTGAGCTAAGAGACAAAAAAAAGCATGCCTAAAAGAAATCCTGAAGGGTAGGCCAAGATAGTTTGCATTTATTTTAATGATATCCAAATGGTGTTCTAACTAAAGATGTTAATAATTATGATAAGCAATAAAATTCTAGAGTTAAACTTACTGGCAGGCTTTATTCTGCTACAGTGTTCTGTTAGACATAACCCTGTAACCTCTTCCTTTCAATAAATGTCAACTACTTTGTTTTATTATTTTTTTTATTTCTTAAATGTCTTAGCTGTGAAGAGACAGCATGAAAATTGTCAGGGATAGATCACATTTTGCCTTCACATGCTCATGTTTTTTGTTAGGGTGACTGAAAGGCCAGAGAAGATGCTGCAGGAAGACTTCCAAGACACAATAAATGTGAAAGTTGTTTCCAAGTCTATGTTTTGAAATGCTTTAAAAGCTTTAATCAAAAGGCTTTGCTATGATCAACTCTGGTAGAGGAATAACATCATCTAGTTCCAACCCCTATTTCCACCAAAACCAGAATTTTTCTTCTGGAAATATTCTGGTTTTGGTGGTACTTTCTCTGAAAACCACCAATAGGCAAGGGCTGGATTTGATGACAACACAAATTTTAAAAATGGCATAAACTTACCTAATGGCAGGAGATTATGACAGTTTTTGAAGATCACCAACCAGTAAAGAACTGCTGGAGCCAGATGAAAAACCTCTACTGTTTTTACTCTAAAGCTCAATTAGTTAATTAGAAGGTCTGCATGATACAGCAGTATCTGACACAGGAGAACAGCCTTTAGAAGGCAGAATAACATATTTAAATAAGACCTTTGTGGTAGGTCTGCATCATCTGCAGGGAGCTCTCTACCCTTAACCATCTGGCTTTAAGTGCTACTCTCTGTGGCTGGATTGGGAGTGTAGGACTGGTCTTCTCTGTCTGTGCTACTAGAGACACTTTTGCAGACCATGTGATTTGTAAACCTTATGAAATAATTGAATCATAATTGCCTAATCCACCTGCTGTCAGGAAAACTGAAAGACACTTAAATCTCCTCTGGGGCTGATCAATACTCGTACCCTACCTTACACCGTTTGATGCAGGAGTAACAAAAAAAAGGAAGTGAAGAGCTTTCATTTCTGTGGGTACTTAGAGTTATTGATACAGATGCAAATTTGGTCTTGAAAAACTGTTTATTTTGGAGTGTAAAAAAATGGAGGTGGCCCTAAATAATCCTTTACCCTACATATCTTGGAAGAAACTAAGAAAATAATAATCTGCCATTTTGCACAAGGATGAACAGAGGCCCATACAGAGAGCAGCAAATGAAGCTCATTGTAATCAGTGAAATCAGATTAAAGACAAAGCTATCCCTGCGTGCCTATCTCCTAAGGTGAAGACCAACAGAAATAAGTGAAGGTAATAAACTTAATCCTCGAGACAGTTTTAACAGTATTTCCAAAGGCTATTTCATAAAAATTAGACACATTGAAGCATAGCCAGAAACATAATCTGCTCAGCAATCACAGATTTCTCAGTTGTGTGTTGAAGACATAGCAACCTAAATTACCCTTGAAATGACTCTATTTCAAGTCATATGCTATTCTGAGCTATACTGGTAGAAATCTTCATACTAGTAGTGCAAGAACTTATTCCAGACAAGGACTTAGCTTGGGTTTATATTAACATATAATTTGTAAAACTTTGTAATAAACATGCCTCACTGAGACTGGCAGAAATCATAGGAAGGAAAACATCACCACTACCTTTGGTCTACTTGCTTTGATTCAGACCTCATTGTGTTATGTTTGTTATGTGAGCTTCAAAACTGCAGAGAAGTAATGAGTTGTTGTGTCACTAAGACCAAAATTTCCAAAGCAGCCTCATCTTTTTAGAAATTCTCTTTTGATTAAGGTTTTTTACTTCCTCAGCAGAGGTCTGAGGCTTAGATGCACTTAAGGAAGTGCACTAACAACCTTTCATTCAGATAAGAAGAAATAAGCAATCTGTAATTCAAAACCGTAGGCCTGAGCAGGCATCATGTTGTACACCTACTGAAGATGAAATTTCACGGTGTGCAGGAAGTACCAACTGAAGCCTTACAAGTAAACATTAGTGAATATTTATGTAAATATGGTAAAGATAAAAGAAAAATACCAGTGTGCATGCTGGTGGTCAGTCTGAAATTACTACTCAGGCCAGTTTTTCTGTCCTTTAGGGTAATAGGGTCATGATTATTTTTCCAGTATTTTTCAACTCTTGATTAAAGAGAGTTTCCCCTCTGTTAGTCACACAGACTAAAAGCAGGTTTGTAATCCCAGTTTGGCTGCACTTGGAAACTAATCTTTTTTGTAAACAATGAAAGGAAACCAGGAAGGAACCTATTTACCAAGTTTCTCTGCAGAAGTATTCAGTTGTTCCAATGTCACTCTTTTCTCCACACTAACCAGCATCTCTGCACTGGATAAAGTTTTGAATCACTGATGTCATTGGTACAATTCAGGAGTTTAAAAATCAAAGCATGAATCAGTATCTTTGAAAGTATGTTTTAGAAACTTCTCTGATACTGCACTTTGTGTGTGTGACTACTTTATTATTTAAAACAGGTGTAGATGGTTTGATCAAAATTGCTCATGGCATTGTTTGAGACATTGAGCAACCTCAAAATGGGAGACTCCATTGCTCTGAAGAGCCAATACTTTAAATAATCTAAAGCTATGTTTATCATTCTTCTAAAATGAAGCTTAATCTATTATTTACCTAACTGTCCAGGAAGCTGCTGTTCAAAGGTGATGGAGACTCTTAAATTAAGTGGGAAAAAGTTGTTAGGATAAATTAAACAGATATTTAATTATAATAAAAGGTGGCATTTTAATAATTGGAAGTCACGTTTATAGATTTTTCATAACATAGTATATAGTATATAAGTAATGAAAACAAAACATTGATTGCTCAACATACGAAAACCAGTTTTAGAGGTATAACAGATGGAGAGTGCCAGAGCCAAAGCAGCATGAATGTTTCTCAAAAGCTGTATGACCATGTAATTACATTGAGTGAATGACATATGAGAGTTTGCAAACATTCAGGTGAGTTAGGTTCTGTTCTCATTGACACAGGTGAAATAATGAAACTTCTGTTCTTCTACATATACATGCTGTTTGGAAAACTATTTATTAATATTAAAATTAATAGTATCATGTGCACACATTCAGCAAGCCCAAAACTGTAACATGATTTGAATGATCAATTACATGTAATAACGTGATTATGGAGGCAAACAGAATAGCAATTCTTCCAAATTGCTGAAAAATTACAAGTATTATCTTGTTAACATTTGTCTCATAGGCACAACCAAACTAGTAACACCGAGGAATGGCAGGAAGGAGAGTGGGAAGAAGAGGTAACAACTGACCTTTTCATGATTATAGTGCTTGACAAAGCTGAAAATAGCTCCACCTTCTCCAGGTCATTAGTTTCAGATGACTAAATCCTCTCCTTAAAGAAAGAAATCAATTTCAAAAGCCTTTAAGAACAGCACCAAGGACTGTGCATGTATGTGTGCCTCTATATGCCAGCCAAACTGCTGCCATTTTGAGGTGTTTCAGCATCTTCAGTGCTGGATACTGCTATGTTTTAAATCATCTCCACTACGGGTTTTTCAATCAAATCGAGACATTTATTTTTAAAGGTGTTTTCTACTAAATAGGTAGGTGAAAGATATATCACAAACAGAACTTGCCTAAAATGTGCAGGGCATACTTTTCTGCTGGTGCTTGTTCTTTGGTTTGCTTCCTGTAGATTACTAGATAAAGACCTGGCTGTGGTCAGCTTTTCCACCTATGGTCTGAGAGCATTACCTTCATAAATTCAGGCAAAATGAAGTGACCAACAGTAATCTGTAGTGTCTTTTCTGATCATAACTATAGCGAGTCACCTTCTTTTTTTTTTTCCACAGAGGTGCCATACATACCTGTTGAACCTTCTCATATCTTCCTGACTGGATTTACTGATTCCTGAGGTCATACGGTACTTGGTTTCCTGTTTTAAGGTGAGTTCCCTTTTTTGTATTAAGGTCATATATAAATGGGGCAGCTTTCTTATGGTTTTGGAAGTATGTGACCAGCCATGCAGTCTCAAAGAAACAGTCAGTTTTATTTTGGGTTTATATTGCTATAGGTCTTTATTGGCTTGAATATCTTCCTCTTCCTATCAAAGAAACAGAAGACAGCTTTCTTATTCCCCAGCCATCCTGCAATCTTGCATGATGTAAGACCTGTTTACAGCAGTAATTCAGTAAAGTGAACAAATCCCACTCCAGCCCCTGTGTTTTTTAGACTGATGCTGACAATCTCTTTGGGGAGATTGCATAGCTCAAAATATTATTGATGGGCTGATGAAAGTCTGGCTACAGTTTTTGTATAGTCATGAGGAAATTGACCATGCACTATTAATCTTCTGTTAATCCATCATCCATCTTGTTGCTGAATCCCACAGCTAACGTCGAAGGTTTCAACCCTCCGTTTAGCCAATTTGATCAAAGGCAGGCTCGTGGTAGCTGAAAGCTATGACCAGCTGACTGCTATATTCAATGTTATTTGTGAAAATTGCTTTTGTCATTTTACTGATAAAATGTCATTGTCTATCTCCAAAAAATTTCTCCAAAATAACTGCTAGCTGAAGATTAAGGGGCAACCAAGAGTTTAAAGACAAGAAAGGTGAACTTGTCTCTTTCTTAGAAGTATTATCTGTATGTCATATAGTGCAAAGGGGCACATTTATGTTGACACCACCCAGGTTGTCAATAAAGAGCTCTGGTCCTCAGAAATACCAAATTGAATTCATATGAATTTCTCACCCTTCAAAACCACTTTCCCACCAGGCAGAAGAGATCACAAAATTAAACAACATTCTCTCCTTCTCACATCTCTGCAGTCTGTAAGCACTCTGCCTCTCGTAATGTTCCCAGGAGGTTTCCTTAACCATAATGTCTCATCTGTACAAGCAGCTGCTTCCTTTTTGCATAACAGTTCTTGGAGACTTGCTTCACTTATCAGAACTGAACCATTGAAAGAAAAGCTAGTAAATAACTAAGTTCTATTGGGAAGATCACATCCCACTGCAGATGGACAGATTTGCTTAACCTATGAAATAATTGTCGAATAACTATTGTTTTGGCAAAATTAAAAAATGTAACAAAGTAATAAAGTTTGATTGTTCTTGGCTTCTCCTAAGTTGCTTACTTTGGGGTTTTAGCTGACCTTCAATATGCACATGCTAGCACCATTACTGTTAACAGCAGTTAAATATACACAAATATCTGAGAGGCTTGACCATTTACTCTCAGTGTTCCAAGGTCAGCTGAAGTCTGGACCTTTTACTTTCTCTGTGCTTCACTAATCGAGAACAAAGCTTATGCAAGACTTCCCTGGGGGAACATAGGGTCTGAGTTTTTTACAATCCACAAGGCTAAAATTCAAATATGAACCACAGCTGTTTGGGTAAGAGTCTTGGACCTCTTTGTTTTGAACAGCTCAGCCTTACCAACACTGAAACTGAAACCACTGCACAGCTAATGACTGGGATGTGAGAACTGCCTGGCAGGCAGACCTGGGTAAAGTGACCGATTTATGGTGCTCTGGGATTTGCAGGTGGAAGGGCTGTTCTTTCTCTTCTCTCCACTTCTTCCTCACCCCACACCGCCATTTCTATACACATTATTTCATGCATATATACCTATGCATGTATGCAGATGTGGATCTATATAGTCTTTTAATCTAACTAGTGATAGACCTCCAGTACCCTAACACTTTTAAATACATTCTATATACCCTTGGTAGTGCATGTATTTTGAAGTATATAATCCATAAAAAAGAGCCAATGTGATTTAACTCTACACAAATATTTAGATTATCAGCAGTGAGTAATTTTGCAGAACTGAGACATGATGTGCTGGGTAATAGTTAATACATTGAAATGGACTGTCAGCCAGAAACTTCCAGTGATGTGGATCAGGTGATAATCCCAGTGGGGGATGCTTGTCTGATTGTACTTCTTTTTTAAGTCAGTGATAGATATTCTTATACCCCTTTTATTATCTAATTCCAGCCTCCCCCTAACCCAATTCCATTATCTTCTTTGCAAAAAGTATATGTATTCTCTATATCAATGCTGACTGTACCAAGAAAACCATATTTTTATCTGGTTTGGGTGTCTGACTGGTCACACATTCTGCTATTGCAAATCAAGTCAAATATCTTAGAATGTGAAAAAAAGGAATTCTTTATGTAGTGAAATAATTAATATCTTTGTGCATCCAAGATAATAGGAATTCCAGTATTCATGCTTACTATTAAATATAGCAATCAAAGGCTAAGTAAATTCTCTTTAATACAGATATAATTTTGACGGCATCTTTGGCTTTTTATGACATGGAAACTGGTGATTGTTTATGCTTTGCTACTTTTTTGGGGTTGCTTTAAGATCCCACATGAGAAACAAATCTTTCTCTAGGAACAAAATGTTACTTTTTTGGGTCTGAGTTCTAATTAGTTGGGTAGTACGTCTGTTTCTTTTCAGTTGGGAAAATGTAATGCATATAAAATCCAGATGGATAGCACATGATGCTGGAACCAGACCTGGCCTATGAGCCACATCACTTGATTAAAAGAAAGCTATAAGAATTTAAGTAAAAAAACAAATCCAACAAGATAGTAAGAGCACCAAACTGGCTGCACCAGTTTCATCATCTCTCTCAGGTACTGCTTTTCTTTTGCTGGTTACCCTCCCACACCTTAATGAAAGTTAACCTGCAGTTGTATTTAATTTAAACGTCTGTATTATTAAAACACCCAAGGTTTCAACAGATTTGAGACTGGGTTTTTTGGAGGGGACTAAAGTGGGCTATGAAGTTGGAAGGAGAGGCAGGCAGGCCTTGGGGAGGGGATGGAGCAGCATCTGGGATCCCTATGGAGAACTGGGGGAATGTTTATTATTCTTTGTTTATTATTTTGAGTGTCTGTTCTTTTCCCTCTTCCTCTCTTTGTCTCCCTTTGTAATTTGTGTAATAAAATTCCTCTAGGCATATAAACTAAGTCATCTGGAATTGTGCAACTCCTTCTGCCAGGAAGCTGGAAAGGCCCCTTTCCTGTGCAGAGAGAAAAATACAGACTCATCTCAACAGCTGAGAAATTGCAGAAATGCAGCATTCATCTTTGGGTTACTTTTATATAGTAAAGAGCTGTGGCTAATAATTGTGCTTCTGACTGTTAAAAATTGTACTTTTATCCTGTCCAAGGTGTTATGTTTATTTAAAACTTGAGAAAATAAAAATGTACATTTAAAAAAATGAAACGATGCAAAATACCTTAAAAACGCTCAGTGTCAAAGTTGGTTTTCCTGCCAGGGGGTTCAGAGAAAGAAAAGAAAATGAGCAAGGAGGGAGGAGCATCTTTGCAGCCACATGGATAGTGAAATTTTCTATTTATTCTTTAGGGAAAAGGCAATGTTAGCTACATAGCTGCTAACTGGATAGATGCCGGTACTATTTTTATTGGCAGGCAACTCTGAGTGGCTGAAAGGTGGTCATTAACACTCTGACACAAAGTGCTGACAGGGCGATTATAAGATTAACACCCTCTGTTATATTAACAGTGTCAAAACCTCCCCTTACCTGTCAGTGAGAAATAATGGCATGAAGAAAAACATTATAGACAGACTGAGATTTTAACATGAAAATGCCACACAGCTTGTTCAAATTGGTCTAAATATCTAGATGACCTACTAAAGTCCAATAAATTATGTTTCACAGAATAACAAAATGAACACCTAAGCTAAGCCACAAGCTTTGCCAGTGAGATTTGGGCTCCCCAAGCTCTGCTGAAATTCCCCAGCCCTGCCCAAATACGCTTGGCCACCTGCCTGGCCATTTTAATTCCATGTTCGACCCCTTTCTAGTGTGTGTGCTCTGTAACATCAGTGATGTCCCATATCGTTTCTTTACCTTCAGGTCTCCAGGGAACCTTCCTCCATATTGTCTAAGTTTTGCCAGCTCATGTCTTTTCTTCTATATAGTTTTTAAATTATATTTCATATTGTATACAATTACAGTATATTCTACATGCTATATATTTTTGTCTGTAAGATATAGAGACAGAATGCACAATGAATATTCCTTATATATACTTTGGTACCTAAACAAGATCAAGATAGAGATGAAGCACCCAAAATGCCAGGATGTGTTCATGGGTTGCATAGGATAAGTTTAGTAGTTTTAAGTAAGATTATTTTGGGTTGTCAGAGAGTTGTAGTTCCACCATTTGACAGCTTAAAGTTTATTGAAACCCCTTAACAAAGTGTTTGCAGTTAACCTAGGACTCCGTGCAAATTACTAAAGTGCCATCTGAAAAGTTCAAATGTCTCTGAAAGAGATTCAACAGAAACATTTAATAACTAAACAAGGATAAAGGATGGATTTATGACTGCTGAATAGGTTGGGGGCTGTTGGAAGACAATGCAAAAAATTCACATTTTCAGAGCTTCAGTTAAATGAACACTGTGCCTCCAGAAAATCGAGTATTTATTATTGAGTGTTTTCATTTACTTTTCTTTTTTTACTTCAAAAAATGGAGAAGGTATGACATAATTCAGTGAAAATTATTTTAAATAATGTTTTATTAATTATAGTCACACAGTTCTTTCATGCTGACAAGAGTCTCAGAATATTTTCTAAAATGTTAGAAATACTTTCAGAGATTTTCAGGATTTCACAAAATTTGAGTGATTTTTTCAAGACAAGAATCGAGGAACACTATCAGATAGCTGGGTATTCAGTGGTCTGATTTATTAAGATCAGGTGGCCACCGAAAGGACACTTAAGCAATGAGATCTGGCATACATTACAGTTTTCTAGGAATTTAAGTAACATAAAGGCTGTGTTTACCAAATGAATGTCATTGTATTCTTTGACTTTAGCTGTAAAATGCTGTTTTAGCTTTCAGCAAAGGTATATTTCACCTTGCTTTATTTTAATTAACAACCCTAAGTTACTTTATGGGAGCTCTGTGTCCTATTTATCTGTCTCTGGAAGTAAGCAAAACTCCTGTTTCATAGGAAAGGAGATTGTGCAGCTTTCCTGTTCAAAGTGGCTCTCTGCGGGGTGAGACAGAGACAAGCTTTTCAAGCGCTGCTTCTGCTGAGAAGTATTGAGGGATTATGGGCTTGATAGAGCTAAAATCAATGATCAGTACACGCCACAGATTCGCTGGCTCTGAGGGCTGAATGGGAGTGGAACAACAGGCTGTGTCTGCTAATCCTCATCCCTTTCTTTGCACACATATTTTGTGTGACAAAAAGAGATCATTCTGCCCCAGCCCCATCCCTTCCTTTCACACTCGCAAATCAAGACACCCTTTGGCAAACCCGGGTTGGCAGTAACAATGAAAAGCACCAAGTATTTACTAAACTATGAAATCATGTGTAGACATGAAAGTGGGAGAACTGCCTGAGACTTCATTTGCAAAGGAGTAAAGACATAGATGACCTTCTGTGACCACAAAAGGCACATCTTCATCTGGATCTGTTTGTGCCAGAACATGAACAGATTCTTGCACATCAGTCATGCTGAAGTGCCAGAAACTTAACTGTAGTAGTTTGCAAGGGGGTTAAAATGAGCAAGGTGAGGTGGAGAGTTTTTGGGGGGGAGTCAAGTTTGTTTGGTTGGGGGATTTTGAGGATGGTATTTCTCTCTGGTAGGCAGTTTGTGAGCACTACTACCTGAACATTGTAATCCTTAAACTCAGGTTACTCATTTTCGATCTGATGCTGTTACGCACCAGGAAGAAAATCCATATACACTCTCAAGGTAAGGTCTGTGGTCCTGCAACTGCTGTGAAGCCCAACTAAAGAAAAAAAAAATCCTTTTAAAACAGCCAGTGCAACTGTGTATTGTTTTAGCATTATGTGATAAGCAGTAAATTATCTTAATACTTTTTGTATCCATTGTTGAGTACAGGGAAGTCACATCCTCTGCAATCCCTATATTATTCTTAATGTGAGGTATATTTTCTCAGCTATAGTAAGTGCATATTTTCCATGTTCTCTAAAAGGCAGAATATCAAAGGACACAGTAGAATTTTATTCCCAGCAGGCTGCAACATGAAATATGGGAGCAAGTTCACCTATAGAAATTAAAAGAAGCAGGGGGAGAAAGTGGAACAGATCCTACTGCTAAGCCACATTCTAACACCGGAAACTGTTGTCTCCTTATATGTCTTCTCATCTACATTGCTTTGCTTCCTTGTGGCTAGAATGGTTTTTTTCTGAGACATTTATAGCATAGCATACATAAAAACACTCCCTTCATTTCTCTGAAAAATAGTTCAGTACACTAAAAATTTGGGGACACTTTTATATAATTATTAACATATAATTTGCATCTGCACAGTATTCAATAAAAAGGTGCTATGAAACAAAGTGAAGCTAGACATTGTGCACTTCCTCTCCATTAGACAGCCCAAATGGTCATAATTTAGGCAGTTCCCTAAACAAAAACACTGGAGGGAAGGGGGGTGGGGGGGGGGGCTGGGAGGAAGAGGAAGGGGAAGGGAAAGGGGAAAAGGAAGGGGAAAGGGAAGAAAATGTACATATGTACATTTCTAACCACACAGCGTAGAGAATGGCCCAAAATAGCTGCAAACAGTAGCACCTCACAGCTCACCTGTAGCAATTTGGGATTGACTTGCCCCTAACCCACAACAGGTAATGAATATCTGATTGCACTTCCTTACTGAACATTATAAAAGAAATGTGAAGCAACACAGAAGATTTCTCTGCATTCTCAGTGCATCACAGTATGCTGTTTGTTGTCAATGCTGTCACAGGCATTAGCTGGAGTCTCACCACCATTAAGCTGGTCTAATGATGCGCGGGCTCAGGAAGCCTAGTTATTGGTGGTGTTTAATGGCCCCCTCTTAAAACGTAGCTAGCTCACTGAATCTTTAACAATACCTTGTGAAATGATCATCATGCCAGGAGCCATGTATATTCCTGCAGGCCTAAGTTGCAACGTGTGGCCATTGAGTCTGCATGTCCAGCCTTTGATAGCACTTTCAGAAACAGGAGAGAATATTTCTGCCTGCTAAATGATCTCTCCTGAAAATGAGAAAAGCAGCCTTTTCTTGCTCACCAACAACTATACTCCTGCTTATTTTCTTGTCAGCACTAATATGGCACTGTTGTGGTTCAAGAAAGAGCAGAAAAGATGAGGACAAATGCACCACTAGTGTACTGCAGACAGCTACTGAGCTACCTCTAGTCCTTATTAGTCAAATTTATGTGATCTACATGCAGCCCAATCTGACTGCGAGGGATCATAGCACATACATACAGCAAAGACAAGGGAAAATTGTTTCAGCATCACAGTTTGACTAATACTAGCAGTAAGAAAATAACTGAATGAAATTTAAAAATTACATATTTAACAAGTGGTTAGATAGCAATAATTCTTTTGGGCCAATATCTCAATTTGCCTCTTTCTGCCTGAGGTCATTAATTACACAAGTCAATCTGTTTACCTGAGAAGGATGATTTTCATGAAGTCCAGCTTGTCAATGGCAGCAAGGGGTTTACAAACAATAGATGAGGAAAAGGATTCCTCCCATCAGCAGCTTGTTAAGGTACCCTGGTAAAGTATTTGCACAGACAACACACTACAGAGAAAGGCTGAAGGCAGCAGATAACCACCCAGCTTTTATCCTCTAAGCCTCTCCTGCTTTCTGTGCTGTGGACCAGGAAGCAATACTGCTTTATGATAAAAAGAAAAAAAGAAAAAGGAAAAAAGAAGCAGTCTAAGGACAGGGATTTGCTATAGACACAAGAAAGCCCACACTTTTAAAGGCAAACTTGCCCTGTTTTTGTTCTTCAGAGTAAAAGGACAATTCGCTGTTTGCTTCATCCTTATCACAAGTGCTAACCCTTGTTCTGCTAAACTGGATCAAGCCAGTATGGATTCTACCCTGAGAATGACATAGCTGAACATTAGATGTTTTACACATGCACCAAAATAAGTAGCAATAATGAAGTTGGAATAGTAAGGTTGAGTCTTAAACTAGATTTGTTTTATACCATGAAATCATCACAAGGGTTGGACCTCTTCATTACCTAAATGGAAGACTTCACACAAGCCTCAGGAGCGCTAGAGGTACTTCAGCTTGAGACTGACACAATGGTGTGCTGTTCGTTGCTTGGGTGTCCTTTGGTGCCAGAAGCAATTTTCAGAAAGGCTTGCACACTTACCATCATTACAAGCCCTGCAGCAAGAGCATCGCTGCATCTCACCAATGCTCAGCCTACATT